CTTGGCTAAGGCAAGGCAGACTAGACTACGTTATCATCTGTAATACTATAGCAATCTTTCTTTCCCCTTCAGATTCTGGAAGGCTCAACAAGACTATTAAACAAAGAATCCGAATTCCGCTAGCTCTGAAGTCCAAGGAAATCAGAACATGAAACCTCTGTTGATGAATTTTCATTTGGCATATACATTTCTCAAGAAAGCGCTGACATGAAAGTCAGAAAATTGATATAATTGAAAATTATACATACTACAAGGACATTTAGGATTGGATTTGCTTTTCTTTTCTCAGTAGATTGTGGGTTCACACAGATGTTATCACAACAATGTGGCTATAATTTCAACTGATGTATCTTGAGCTGTGGTTCATCTGTGCTCCTTCAGAGTTATAGACTCACTAAAGCAATCTTCCTCACCATCATGCCTTACAGATGTATTAAATTATAACTTTCAGGATGCTGGAGATTATAGCAGTTGTATTCCAGTGAGACTAAAGGCCACCAGTTTTGGGGGAAGGCTACATTAGAACAATGTAGAGGATCTCTGGACTGAAAAATGCTTCCTCACTCAAGACAATTCATAGTATTTCTTTCCAAAAGATGGGATGACAGCCACCTGTCTAGAAAAAATCCTAACAATCCTATCTCCAAGAAAGAGGGAAATGGTCAGGGAACTCAGGATAAATATTTAAGGAGCTAGGGCATAGCTGTGGGGTGGGACAAAATGAGGACATTATCCCCAATAAGTATTATGACCCCCATGGGTTTTCCTTCACCCCCATTGCAGTAACTCAAAACTTCAGTTGAATATTCTGAAAAATGGTTTGGGCATCCAAAGAAAAGAGGCAGGCAAAGTTACTAAAGGAATGCAAACACAGCAATTATAATAAAAGTTGGGGGGGGAGAAGGAGAGAGAAAAGAGGAATCTAGAACCACCTTTAAGACTAATTGATTTACTAATTTACTATTTTATAACAATTTACTAATTTATTTATTAAAACTAATTGATTTAGCATAAGTTCTTGTAGATATCAATCCACTTCCTCAAATGAAATGACAAAGTAATATTAAAGCCACAAGTTATTAAACATATTTATACAATTGTTGGAATGGGATAGAATGTAATAGGATCCAGAAAGATGCAATTCATGATCCTCACCATAAATCTTCAAAGGGGCAAGTGATGTGATAAAGATGTTTAAGAGCTTTAAAATACTGGGTTAGTATTAACATGGAAAGGCAATAAATCTTTTTAGCAAAAGTCAGTTTTCCTGGGTCAAAACTTTCTCTGAGATTTCTTTTGCTGTATGTGCAGTTATGAGGACTCATTAATATATATAGTGAGTTATAGTCACAAATTTCAATCAATTAGTAGAAGTATAAACAAAACGAATGGTTTAATGATACATAATGTATCATAAAAACATTATCTTTGTTTATATCTCTGCTAATTTGTTGAAATTTATTAATATAACTCAGTTTCCAGATTGCCTTTGAAATTTCTTTGTTCAAAAACTGGCACTTGTAAATATTATATTATATGTCCACAGATGTTGAAATGCTCTGCAACTGGTTTTGGGAAATGGCATTTCTAATGTCAGATTTGTGACCATTTATCTTCTTGGTAGGATAAATTTTGTTCTGTTTCTCCAACATATAGTGCAGAGAGTTATTACTTAACAGGATGGTGTATACCACATTGGAAAATGAGCAACTAAATGCACCAGAAATATGAGAAATGTGAGGACTAAAATAAAATCTCATTAGATGGAACAGAATTCTTGTTTGGGCAGGCAATGCCTTCATCTCCCCTGTCCATAATGGCTGACACTGCTGTCCCTAAGCATCTGTCAGTTGAAGCAGTTGCCTCACTCTGCATAATGGTGAGGGCCAGGCCCAAAGACTCCTATGTTTCTCTCCATTGACCTAGAGGTCAGACTGCCCTTGTGTTTTTTCTAATAGAAACATCAAAATCCAATTATTTTAGAATCATTTGATTAACTCAATTAGTTCCTTCTCCCGCCCCCAACAAAATAGCATCTAAACTCGAACCATTTCTTGCTTCCTTGCTATTTTGGGCTTCTGTGTGAAATGCTTAATTGATGCCCTGGTGAATTACAAGCCTAGATAACCTGCACAATAGTATCAGGCTCATACTTTCAGTCATCGACTCACCATTGCTCTTGAGCCGGAATATTTTGTTTTCCAAGGAAGATACATGAAATGGAAATTGGCAAGCAGCAAATTCCACTTTAAGGGTGTCTGGTAAAATTGTTTTGGAGAGCTAACATCTAGGAAAGTAGCCTAGAGAGTTGGCCAGACACTCTGCACATTACATGCCAGAGGATCCCAAATAGCACTGCCTCTCAGGCACATTTTTTTCAAGGCTAAAGAAAGGGTTGGTTATTATGGTAGTTGCTTCTTACAAAGTATGCATAACTGAAGGCACATGTATGGGAAAGCTGAAATTAACCATTCCTTGACAGCCTTGGGACATTTCCTTCTGGAAACAAACATTTGTCTTTACTATTTAAATAATAATTACAGTAGACAAGAATCTGGCAAAATATTTAGTGGTTTTTCAAGGTTGTTTGGTATTCATGTCTGCTCTGGTCCTGCAGAAAAACAGCTTTGAGTATTGTTCCTAATGCCATATGGCATCCTAGATGAGAGTGAGGAATTACAAGCTAACATATGACAAAGAAGAATGCAAATTCTAACTGTTTGTATGCCTGATGAAATCTTCACAGGAGATTGTATTCACCCTCTGCCAATATTTATGACAGTGTTTATCATTATAACTGTCGCTTTTTCACATATTCAATGAATTATAATCCGTGATGCTGCAGTGTTCCATTCTTGTGTGCGTTGACATTTTGTTGGCTGTCTGTGGAAAGGCTCTTTCCCCTCTTTCTATAATGAATCAAACATTCTTACAACATAATTCCCACAAAGCATTCTCAGAGATGTAAAAAAAAAATTCTGAATAGCTTCCCCTTATTTTTATAGTTGCATATACAGGGGGGTGGGGGTGTCAGTATAAGGTAGATTGGCTTTAAATTTACTGGTAGTCTTGCAACAGATAGGTAAGAATTTCTGGCTCCCAATTACTTCACAACAGAAGCCAAAAATACACTCCCTTCCGCCCTATATTATATTGCTGAAATGAAGAAGCCTTTTTGGCCAGTTTATGCCTCGCCCACACTCATATGCTATATATTTCCCTATTCCCTCTCTTTTTTCCTTTTCCTTTCATATCCTTTCCTTTTCCTTTCCTTTCCTTTCCTTTGTACTCATACTTTAAAGAAATCCAATAATTTTTTTGAAAAAAGAAATGAACAAAAGCTAGGGTAACTAGGAATAAATTTCTGTATGGAAGGTTGATATGCACAATCAAGTTTTGGCATGTGTGAGCATGTGTGCGTGTGTGCCTTGAAGTCACCTATTGAATTATGGTGACCCCATAAATTTTATAGGGGTTCATTAGGCAACAAATAGATTCAAATCCTGGGCTCAAAATTCTGTTAACGCTTAGGTTTGTTCTGTGTCAGTTTCCAGCTGGTAAATCCATGGGTAATAATAAAAAGCAAAAGTAACCAAATTGTTCCCTTGAGGTCAAGGATAGTGATCTGCAAAACTAGGAGACACAGGGGGGTTGCAGACTGCCAGAAATAGTGCAAATTGAGTCCACTTTTAGGGTTAGGGTTAGGGTTAGGGAGTCATGGGAACTGTAGTTTATTGTGGCACCAGAGCTCTCTGACAGAGAAGGCTCAATGTCTCAGAAAAAAATACAATTCCCATGATTCCCTAGCACTGAGCCAGGGCAGTGCCTCAATTTAATGTGCACTATTTCTGGCAGTCTGCTTAGGCCTACAGAGAGGTTAGCAGATGAGAACTGTGAAGATCTAATCCTGTAGCAATGGCTCTATTGCAGTAACAGCGAATGGGCAGGTCTAAACAAGGTGCACATTTTGTGATCTATTGCTGTTGAATTCACTTTTGGAATCACTATTCGCATGAAGCACACAAGAACCTAAAATGACCAGTAACAAATCCTATATATTAAAAAAACAGCAATTTTTACAAATGCATTTAACAGCATGATTTAAAATGTCCACTACAGCTTTCACTTTTTTTCTTGTGTGTTTCCCTGTTTTGTTATTCATCACTGCTTCTTAGCCCTCCCCTTATGTGATGTGATGAAGATTTGACTGTACCTTTCCAAAGTTCAGTAGATTGGCCAGTTTCTGGCTCAAATTTCTGGCCCATCCACATCCCTCCCCCCTTCTCTCACATTTTTTCAAGTACATCAAATTCTAGTTGTTGCTGTTGTTGTTGTTGTTGTTGTGTGCCTTCAAATTGTTTCTGGCTCATGGCAAACCTATCACAGGTTTTTCTGGGGGAGAGAGTGTGTGACTTGCCCAAGGTCACCCATTGAGTTTTCATGGCTGAGCAGGGAATTGAATTCTGATCTCCAGAGTTGTAGCCCAACACTCAACGCACTATACCACACTAGGCCGCATATCAAATTCTTAGTTGTTATTACTTCTTGGATATTCTGAAATAATATATTGGCTATTATGTGTCCCCCCAGATGGGCTGCCCTGTCATCATGATGTAACTATTCAGTATGAGCTTTTACTGAGCTTCCCTTTCCTTCTCCATACATATATTTTTATTTTCACATTACACTTTTTCATTTTAGTTCACTGCAGTTTTAACTTCTATATAGCTTTTATTACTATTTCTCAACCTTGCAATTCTGTTTCTCAATATGGTATGACTGAAATTCCTACTCCTCATTACTTCCTTACATAGAAACACTATTATGAAACAGTTGTTGTTGTTGTTGTATGCCTTCAAGTTATTTCTGACTTATGGCAACCCTAAGGTGAACCTATCATGGAGTTTTTTTTGGCAAGATTTGTTCAGGGGAGGTTTGCCATTGCCTTCCCTTGATGTCAAAAGAGTGTGACATGCTCAAGGTCATCCAGTGGGTTTCATGGCCAAGCAGGGAATTGAACCCTGGTCTCCAGAGTCAAAGTCCAACACTCAAACCCCTATCTTAAGTTGGCTCTCATTATGAAACTACACTCCTATAAACTTGACACCTCCACTCCCATTCTACCATCTCCCTTAATGTCACTGTTCCTATGCTAGATGATTGCATTACAATGGTAGGAGTATGCTTGAAAACAGTACCCACTTTATAGATTAGATTAGGAAAAAAAATGGTTCAGAACTAATACCAGTGTATATTCTCCTGGTGAGATTGTAATGTCATAGATTGTGATGACATAGACTTCAGCTCCCAGAATCCCAGGAGCTATTGGCCAACATGGGACTATTGGCCAACATGGCTGAGGCTTCTGGGAACTGAAGTCCCTCGGCCCTTAAAGGGGAAAGGTCGCCTACCCCGACATAGACCTTTGGTGAAAAATAGTGCTTAATTTGTTCTCTCTCTCTGTAAGCAATTTGTTTAGGTATGCACTGTGTATAAGGTAAGGATCTGTTGGGGGTGAGAAAATGGAATTTTTAAAATATAAAACTTCTTTTTTCCAGTTAGTCTCAAAGGTGCTGCAAGATCTCTCTACATACAAAACAATATGTCGTTCTGTTCCTTTATTTTTTAAGGGTGTAATTCATTAGCACGAGTAGCATACATCTAATTTGGATCCACCCAGTAAGGATCCCGGGGAAAAAACAATATAACTGAGAGGGAAAGGGTCAGAATCTCTTAGAAGGGGTGCCTTTCTTTTACACCTTGGATATGCTTTCAGAAGGTATGGGCCTATCGTAATGGGAAAGTCAATAATTAGAAACCTAGACATAGTTTCTTTTAGGGCAAATAGACAGGTGTGAGCCACACCTATTGTGTTGATAGTGTGGTAGACAGCACTAAATGTTCATAGTTCTCCATACCAAATGATGTGTAGAAATGTAAAAATTCAATTCTAGAAGCTAAATTTAGGTTACTAGGTAAGGTTTTCAAAGGAAGGGCCTCCAAAATAAGTTTCTCTAAAATTGAATGTTCCACATTCTGGGGCAACTTGACAAATGAAGCTGAGGTGTCTCAGTGCATGGATGTAACAGTTGGGTATAGTGGGGGGGGGGCTAGGTCTTGAGCAACATTTTTATACGAGTTTTTTTCTATACAAAAAAAATCCAGACTGAAGACAGACTGCAGGTGCTTAAATGGTGGCAAACCAGCTTTTTAAAATTTTTTATTATAATTATACATAAAAAACATAGACATATAATACATAAACATATACACATATAAACATATAAACATAAAAAACAGATAAGTATATATACTTGTCTTATTTGTGACATAATATATCTTCTCTGAAAATAAATTCTTAGCTTCTACTATACCGCTTTTATCAAACTTCCTCGATGTCTTATAGATATCTATATCAATGTATACTTTCTTTATTTCCTCATAAAAATATTTTTCTATCTAAACTCAGTTCTTTAATCTTATTTATTTTGTGAAAGAAAGAAAAAGCGATTTCTAACTATACGTTATTATACCTATAATTCTCTATTTTATTTCTTCTTTCACTTTCCGTCCTATATATTCATTGATTTCTGGTTACATTTCCCTTGTCAATTCATTATAGCCAGATTTATTTCTTATCTTCATTCGCTCCTTACATACATACATATCAATAGTCTCTTACTACATCAATGTAAGTTCAGATCATTTTGTTAATTTTTTTTCTTTTTTTGTATTAGTATATCTTGGTATCTTATCCATTGTTCCTCTTCTCTGCTTCTGATAAAAAAAAGCTTCTTGTGGAGAGGTCCATGTTGGTATATGTCTGTAAAATTTTTCTTTTACTCTTAACCATCTTTTTAACAAAGTTCTTCTGATAATGTGGTTCCACCCATAACTGATGTTTTCTCCCTCAAGATTCGTTGTTCTTTCATCTTTAAGTTGTACCCATTCACTAATCCAATCCAGTACACATGCCTGGTAATATAGTTTAAAATTAGGTAATGCACAGCCATCCCTTTCTTTATCGTCTGTTAAGATTTTCCATTTAATCCTGGCTTTTTTACCCGTTGATAAAAATTTGGTCATTTCTTTTTGCCATCTATCAAAACATTTTTCGTCAGAGATTATTAGCAGATTTTGAAATCAGAATAATAATTTTGGCAATATATTCATCTTTATGACAGATATTCTGCCCAAAAGTGTTATGTGGTATTTTGTCCATCTCATCATATCTTGTTTTATCTCTTTCCAAACTTTTTTGTAATTATTTTTTGTGGGTTT